AGGTTGGAGCAACCTGGGCTGGTGGAAGGTGTCCCTGCCCATGGCAGGGGTGGCACCGGATGGACTTTAAGGTCCCTTCCCACCAAAACCATCCTGGGATTTTTTGTGACAACTAAAACCAGAAAACCATCAGAAATAACAGATATCCCTTTTTTTGGGGGGGTAAAACACCTGAGAAATTTTAAGTCACAACTTGGTTCCTTTTCCACTTCCCCTGATTTTCAGATAAAATCCACCCTGAAGCCACTCCAGGAGAAAATTCCATCCCAAATTTGTCTCTCTCGGTCCCTCTTCACATCAGCTCCCACGATTTGCAAGCCTCTCATTAGCTGAGCTAATTAGGCAGAAGATGCTGATGACTCTTGACCCTTTAATTACATCTTTTCCCTCATATAAACACGGAGCAGATCTTGTCAGGACACACTAATTCAAACTGACCTCCAAGAAATGTGTAAAGGTCATGGAGAAGCTTTTAACTGTCAACAGGGTATGTTTTTTATTCATTAATTAAATTTATTCATTCATTTGATTTATTTATTCATTTATTAAACGTGATTTACTCATTTAGTAAATGTGATCTATTCGTTAATTAATCCCACTCAAGAGATTTAAGGAAGGATGATCCAAATAACCTGGAAATATTAAAAAAAAAAATCTAATTTACCTAATTTTGTGTGACACATTTTCATTAGAGAAATTCTTAGATTTTTAGGGAAGACAATAATCAGCATTTCTGTGCTGAAATATAAACCAAAAAATCCTCTATTCAGACTCCCACTTTTTAATTAAAACATTTAAAAACTCCACTTTAGGCACTCGGGCCCGAACAAACAAGCCACAGATTTGCTAAACCGAGTTTAAATTAAAATAGTAACTAAAATAAATAAAAATATATAATGAAATAAATTAGAAATAATAAAAAATAAAAGGAAAGAAAGAGATAAAGAAAGAAAGAAAAACAGAAAGAAAGGGGTAAATAAAATAAATTTAATAAAAAATAAAAAATAAATTAAAAATAAGATCTTGAAATTAAAAATAATCTCATTAGGCCGAGCAGACCAATAACTGGGCTCTGTAATCTAATTCCCAGCTCTGCAAGGAGGCTCCAGATCTGCTTTTCTCAGGGAAAATACGGAGTAATAAAAAGTTGTCGAGCACAATAAAAGGAAAAAAAAAATGAAGGTGCTCTCCAATCATCAGCTGGAAATTATTTCTGAAAGTCACAGGTTGCTTTCTGCTCTGAACACTGAATTACCAGGCACTTTTCACCTCCCTCTTTACTTGTTATTGCTTGAGATTGTT